AAAAAAAAACTGCCGGTGAGGTTTAAATTTCATAGTCAACAACTGGACTTACACCTTAAAATATGATGCACAGTATTTATAGTGTGAAGTTAAGAACAAAAATAAAAGCTGTGTTCTGCTTCGGGGTCTGCAGGCTAAGTGTCCTGATGTACCATCGAACCTCATGTTGTACTTAAGGCACAGTTAAACCTACTTTATTTATTTGTGCTTAAAAATTAGTCACAATAGCAGAAGAAGTTAAAGACAGACAATGCCAGTCTAGCAGTTAGTGCTAAAAATTCTTTCACACATGCCAAGAGAATCTTCCTATGAGAGAGTTTCTAAGAAGCTGTTTCAAGATCTCTTGAAGCATGTGACAGGACATCACACTCAGATGAATATCTTCACCTTCTGTCTGTTATTGCTATGGCCTCTTTTTAATCCCTTTAGCATCCTGTTGAAATGAAGTTTATAAACAGAAGTTTGGGAATGGATCAACAACAATACTGTCAAATATCAAAGTCAGCACTTTAAATCCTTCAGTCTACTTCCACCTTCTGATTCTGCAAATACCTCTATGTCCAAAAGGAGTTTCCCACTAGTCGATTTCTAGGCTATCCTCAATTGTGTGTCTTTTTTAAAAATATTTTTTTCGCTGTGGTTAGAAATTTAAAACAAGTAAAGTGAGTTTTCTAGCCAAATAAAGATGAAAAACAACTTCTTCCATTAATAACTAACTGACACACTCTCCCTGACTTAACTCTTTGTGTCCAAGTAAATATTAGAGAATGTAAATTTCCTCCTAATTTCTCCTCTCTTGTAAAAATCTAACAAACCAAAATATTTCTAATATTTACTTGGACACACTTCTATTCCAAATCTCTATTTTTTCCATTTGTTTTCATTTTTAAAGATTTGGGTCATATGAATTGTGTTTGTATAACATCTTTATACTTACTATGCATTTCAGAGAGACTTTAAAAAGAACTCATTTATGAAAGATGAATATGGTATTAAGTACATTTCCAATCTTAGAACTGGACATTAATGTCAACATGAATTAAAGAGAAAATTAAATTCAGAAAGTTATGATTATTTCACCTAAGCTAAAGTTGAATTGTACATGACATGAAAAAGTCTTTAAAATACAAAGGAGAAAAAGTTTAACATTCTTATAATAAGCAAATATATGTCTATAATTACAAAGTAGTTTCATCTATTCATTAGGTCAAACCATGGAGAATTTTTACCTGAAAACACTGTTAAGACCTACTGTAAGTTTGTATAAAAATAATTGAATCTTCTTTGTCTTGGTTTTCACTAAGTCAAACTGGAATTCCTCCACTTAGTTTTTTAGTGAGATTTCAGAGTACAGGAATTCCTCTTTTTTCTGTTATTTCTTAAAAAATAAAATCACTGTTCATTAATTACTAGATTACCATTGCTAAGTAACACCTCATACCTAAAAAAGCTAGTTGTTGCAGACATGTTTTCAACTAACAAATACCGTTAATAGTTTGAATCCACAAAATCTTGTCAGCTACTCTCCAAATTTGAAACACATTTCTGCTCTGTAAAATAGGCAAGAATGGATTTAGGGGTAAAAAATATATATATATATGATTACCACAGTGTTCATCCCCTTTGGTTGGCAGAATAAGGCAACATAAAATGCCAACACTCAATGATCCAAATAAACCGCAAGTGAGGGAGAGCCTGGGCTGGCTGTAGGTCAGCATTCCTAATTAGTTCTATTTATACATCCTTCCTTTAAAGCTGCTTCTTTGCAGTTTTCAGAATAAGATGACACAGAAAAAAATTAGGAGGTAATGAAATCAGTTATCAGAAAAAAATGAGAAGCAATCCTTCTGAAAAGAATTTCATTGTGACGTTATCTCGAAAAATGTATTTATTCAAAAGTAATTTAACTTCATTTATTAACTTTGAGAATAAAAGCAACTTTTATTTTCATGGTTCCAGATATTGTTAGAATTGCACGCTAGAGCTAGAATACTAGAAGGAAATTAACGTAAATTTCATACGGCAAACTCCCTCTTGGCAGCTCAATAAATTGCCATGAAGCTATCATAAAGTGTAATTCATTTCTAAAAAAAAAGTTTTGCTATTTCCTCTATCCAATTAAGAAGTTAAACGGCAATTAGATTAGTAATTAGTAACAGTTGATATTTCTAGGGGTGTTGATACATTTGTCCACTGTACTCAAGTTTCAAGACCTTAAACTTTTCGGTTTACAGTCTTTTCTCCTGAGTGAGAGGAAGAGAGACTTTCCTCTCACTTTTCTCCTTATCATTGTAGCCAGCCCCTTCCCAAGGCTCTGAATCAAAACCTGACTTCTTTGAGGTGTCCATATCCTGGTGGTTTAAATGACTGGGAGAGTGGAGGGGTTTACATTTCGTTGTGTGTATGTGTGTGTGTGTGTGTGTGTGTGTGTGTGTGTGTGTGTGTGTGTGTGTTTTCCACTTTAGCATAGAAACAAGAGAGATTCATCAGATTGAGAAATGACACCCTCGTAAATGACAGCATTTCCGATATACAGAAAAGAGTGAATATGCTCTGATCTTTGGGTGTATTTTTAAACTGCAGACTGTTTCTTTCTTTCCTTCGCTTTGGATTTGAGAGGAGAATTTTCCTGCCCAGATTCAAGATTGACGCTCACTGGCCCAATTCCCTGTGTTCCTTTAAACTCTTGTGCAGACAATACCCTTATTTAACTTCAGCAAGTTTTAAAAACTGATTCAGGAGGAAATTGAGAACAGAAAGCAGCCTTAGGTAAATGGAAACACATTCTCTTCATTTTCTTCGCTCAAAATGTGGTTAATCGCTGCCCCTACAATCCTTTTCAAAAATAATTAACATTTTGCTGGGCCTTGTCGGAGTCAGAGAGGTGGTCGTTTTCTCCTGAATTTGTGGGAAAATCAATGTTCTTCTAGTCCCATGGCCAAAGTAAAATAAAAATGTCAAAGTGACAGGGGACAGGAGACAGGAGGTGGCTACTGGAAGGTGAGCAAGGACAAGTCGAGGTTCCCAGTATTGGCTAAACAGACGTGCGATCTCGTGCTAGCCTCCTACGGCTTTTCCCGCGCGGTAATGCGAACCAACCTGTCACGTTGCGCACTCTGGGTTGTGCGGGAAGAAGCGCGCTCTCGCGACAGATGCTCCAGCCAGATGTGCCCTAACAGGAGGAAGCCAAAGTAGAACCTCTGTGTCCAGGGATGGACAGAGAAGCTTGGCGAAAGCGGGGAGTATGGCCCGCGGGGTCCGCGCCTACTGGCTGCGATCTGTTCTGGGCGCGGCAACTGCGTAGGCACCTTGGCTACTGCGGTGTCCTGAGACCTGACCCAGGGCGCGCGGGCCGGGCCGACTCAGGCCTGTGCGGGGCGGGGTGGTGCGGAGCTGGCCCCAAGCTAAGGTGAGCTGCAGTGGGGAGCGGGACTGGGACCCGAACGCCTACTTCCCACATTCGCGAGCGCGCACTATGGCTCTCCAGGTGCTAATTCGCTCTTTTGCCCTCCTCCCAAACTGAGGGTGTTGAAACATTTGTCCACTGGGCCCAAGTATCAGGACATTAAACTGTTTGGTTTACAATCTAAAGGTAGGAAATGTCTTACTTCACCTGTGCACCTAGTTGGTCCAAGGCTCCAAAAGACGGCCAAGCTCAGCCCCGCCTCTAAAATGAGGCAGAGGTAAAACTAAGGGGTGTCTTTATTTTTTATTTTAATTTCCTTTCAAATAGATTGCATCATAGTTAATTAAAGAAACTCTCCAATCGCTTAGGACAACTCACCATTTCTAAATCGGATTGGAGACGTGGAACCATTTACCCATTTATAATTCCGGCAAAACCAAAAATTGAACAACGAAGCAATTTGCTTAAAATGATCATGTTTTAAAGACAAATATATCTTTAAGGGTTCATTTATTCGCGGTTTTATAGCTTGAGAATCGATTTCAAAATTTTTGTTGGATTTAAACTGGGGAATAATTAGAAGTTTCTTGCACTAGTAATCCGCGATGCCTCTTCACTGAGTCCGGGCTCGCAGTGCTCCCAATCTCTGCTCCACCTTGTTCCTCCCAATCTGGGCCACCACTATTCCCATAACACCCCTTCCGACACCTGAGCAACCGTACAAAGTGCCTTTCTCAATTCATTCCTAAACTTATTGAACGGAGGACTCCACTGTGACACTCCCCTCCCCAGAGGTTGAGGATGGTGGTGCTGGGGTAGGCTGGAAAGCCTCGAGCGTAGCAGGAAGCAGGTGAGAGCTGGGAATTCTCTCAGGGCAGAAAAGATAATGGTGATGAGTGTTTCACAATTGAAGTGCATTCTCCTTTATCTCTTTAAAATGAAACAAAATCGCAGCTGCTGGATAAAAGGCTGAAGAGGCAGAGAAAGACCTCTCTGACCTGCCTACAGTTCCTCGGACGACTCCTCTTGCAGCCTGAAACTTTTAAAGACGCCAGTCGAGGAGACCCAGAGTGGCCGGGAGCTGAGTAAGGCCTCCTGGACTCCTCGAAAGCAGTTCACCTCGGGAGGAGCCAGAGGCGGGGCACTAGCTACACAGGCGGAGCGTGTTCGGGTGGAGAACATCAAAGAGAAAGGGGTGGGATCCGACACTAAAGGGGCAAAAGGACCGGCCTCTAAGTGGAATTGAGTAGGAGCTGGCAGCGGATGGATCGGGTCTGTGGAGGCGCATAGGAAGTGGAGCAGGGCAGAGGCTATAGGCTCCAGTCACTGCTATTTCCCCGCAGAGGGAGCTGCTGCATGCCCTGTACGGGTCCCTGGACTCCATAGACATCTGTTTTAGATGACCGGGAGGTCCTAGGGGATTCCTGGGGATTGCGCAGTCCCTCCGGCACATCACCGGGAATCTGCCCCCACCGCGCCACCCCCGGAGGCACACACTTAACTCTACAGTGTGAGCCCAGGGCTCTCCTACGGGACCTT